GCTGGAGCTTGGCAGGATGCCATTGTTGGCATGGGGGGGAGAGAAAATAATGGTGGAAATACAAGTAAGCAACTAGTGTTTTTAATATTCAAGGCACTGTGTTAAAATAGGGGATACTTAGGGGCTCATTTATAATGCATTTGCACAGTGAATAGCTGTATAAACAACATTTGCAGCACATTACTGCCACAAGCTAGAGATGAGAAGCAAAGGAAGTTCTTGTGATCCCCAGATTTATCTAGTGGCAGTAATGCGCTGTGAATATCGTTCGCACAGTTATACACTGTGCAAACGAACGTATTAAAAATATAAATCAGCCGCTTTTAAAAGTGTATGTAAATGTTGAAGTAGTATTAAACTCTACAAAAGATTTTTCAATAATGAATCCAGATCAAACAAATACACTTTGTCCAGCAAAGTATTTATTGAAATTTTTCCCAAACACATTCATCATCTTTCCAAACAGCTGGCTCAACTCTGTCCGCTCAGCTTTCCTGAACTTCCTGTCCAAAACAAGATCACAAATAAAAGGTCCGTCTGCAGCTGCTCTCCTTCTACTAGCTTGGAGAAGGAGGGAAGGGGCAGGGAAGTGACTTGCCTTGCTGCGCCCGTGTGTTTGTGATTACACGCTAGGGCTGCAGCTAGCTATTATTTTCATAATTGATTAGTTACCCGATTTTTTTATTTTTTTTATTTTTTCAACTGATGGATTGTTTGCATTAAAAAAACCTTTTCTTTGCTTTCCTTTTCTTTTCCTTCCCTTCCCTCCCCACCAACTAACCAATAACGAGAATAGTTGCCAACAATTCTCATAATTGATTAGCTGTTGCAAGACCTAATACACACGCAGCTTACTAGCACTCACAAGTAGAGCTGCAGCTAACGATTATTTTCAAAATCGATTAGCCGATTATTAAGTTCGATTAATCGGATAAAAAAAATAAAATACATTTTAAAAAATGGCTCCAGTGATGGGACTACTAGTTTGTATTGATATTGCAGTCCATCACAGGAGCAAGCTTGAAGCGGTGGAAGTAAAAAAAAGAAAAACAAAAAAAAGTACTCACAAGAGTTGCTCCATAGGACTCTGCAAGGGAAAGGAGGCACCCTATAACAGGACCAACGCTCAAACGACCAGCTGATTATGCAGGAAACTATTCAACGTCCAGGAGCAGCATCCATTGTCAGTGATTTAATCAGAATTTGAAATAGCTTTAAAACCTTTTGACTTTACATTTTAAATTATTAAAAGTGTTCGCCTCCTTGATGTCCTCTTAGGCCTGGTTCACAAAAAACAATAAATGCCTATGGGCATGGTTCCCACCTGGGCGTTTTACAGCGCGTAGGAACACGCTGAAAAACGCCCTGCGCCCAAAGAAGTACAGGAGCTTCTTTGGGTGAATTTGCCGCTCGTATCCATTAGGATACAGCCGGATAGCCAGGGCTTGAAAAAGCCACTCGTCCACTCGTCCACTCTGTGACGAGCGGACGGTGGAGCCCGACGAGCAGCTTCCTGTCCGTTGTAATTACACGGCCGGCTGGGAGCTTTACTGTCAAGCGGTCGGGCGTCTCTATAGACGCTCGATCGCTTGTATCAGCAGCTGTCACTGCCGTTGCCGGTCCCGAGATCCGCTGTGCCCGATGCGGCCGGGACGGGCACGGCTCTGTGACAGGAGATCAAAGGGAGTTCAGTATACGAACTCCCTTTTGATCTCCTCTCCGTCCCCGAATGCAGGAAGTGATGTATATCACATCACTTCCTGCATTCAGTGTCACTCTCCAGCTAGAGAAGCTGATGAAGCCGATCTCTGCTTCATCAGCTTCTCTGGGGGTCCCTAGGTGACAGGGGTCTTCGAGACCCCTGATGTCTCGAGACCCCTGATGTCTCCATAAAGAGGACCTGTCATGTAAATTGGCTATCCCTTAGGGGGCTTCTTAGCCCCCCATGTAATAGCAATAAAGTTGTGTGTAAAAAAAATAAATAGTGTGTATAAAAAAATAAATAAAAAAATAAAGTAATACAAAAATTAAAGAATCATAAAAAATAAAAATAAAGCATCATTTTTTTTAAAAATAATTTTTTTTAAGTCCCTGCCCCCCACATACACACAAAAATGCGTCGGGTGCGCCTACGTGCGAAGACTATTGCGCTTATTGTGCCGCACATGTTACATATCGCCGCAAACGTCGTGAGTGAGAGCAATAATTTTAGAGCCATTAAGGCCGGGTTCACACCTAGGCGTTTTACAGCGCTGATTGACGCGCTGTAAAACGTCCAGCAAGTGAAATCCCGTTATTTCCTATGGGCATGGTTCCCACCTGGGCGTATTGCAGCACGTCGGAACGCGCTAAAAAAACGCCCTACGCCCAAAGAAGTACAGGAGCTTCTTTGGGGCGTATTTCTGCGCGTTTTTTCAAGCCCTGCGGATAGCCCTCGTAAATGCGCGCTTGTAGCGCGTTTCTTTTACCGCAAATCGCGGTAACGCACGGCATGAAAAGCGCGGCAAACGCGCATATTCCATACGCCCAGGTGTGAACCCAGCCTTAGTAGTTGCACTCCAGCTGTCGGTGTTCTCGTATGCAATTCCACCTCTTCATGTCTTTCGAAGGCCTATTCCCTCCTCCTGTACATGACCCCTGACAAGATCATTGTATCATGCAATGGTTTTTCGTCTTCTGCCTATTTGTTTGTTCTGGGTTTTTTTGCTGTAAGGGAGACTTTTTTTACTACTGTTTATCACTTGTATTTTTTCTATGTTTTTAATTTTTTTTTCTTGTAGAATTCTGTTGTAATGCATAACTTCCTTTTTTAAAGTAGTTTTGTATTACTTTTCCCTCCTGAAATATGTTCCTGGTTGTCTCCCAAGTCCCTGATTTTGCTTTTGAGCTGAAAAAACTTTATTTAAATACATTCCTTATTAACCACAAAGAATATACATACACTTTGTGTATGCAAAATGCAAACCCAGATATTACCTTGAAACAGACACACTGCTCTGGCTGGAATTAATCTTTAATTGACAAGAGTTGCTGTCTTCCCATCAACTTTTGGGTGTAGATAATCCAGAAATTCCTAAATTGTCTGGAGGCTTTGTCATTTTTAAGCAGGATTTTTTTACTGGAAATTACTAGAGTTGGTCTTATTTAGTTTAAAAATGTTGCTATTAACTACCCATAATTTATTAAGGTAAGGTTTTTATAATTAAAATGTATTGTTATACATCTGGTACAATGAAGAGATCAATAATTTTCACGCATGTGATGACTATCTTGCAAAGAGGTTAGATTTTGTTTGAGAAGAGTAACCAAACCTACAAGCGCTATGCAAATTTTTTCTTTTAACCTCTTGAGTACAAGCTTATACATGCCCCTTTGTTACCAGGCCATTTTTCAGTTTTCAGTGCTGCAATAGTTTTATTGACAATTACTCGGCCATGTAACACTGTACCCAAATAAATTTTATTTAAAAAAAAATTTTGGGGGCTTTTTTTTTTTTTCACTAAAGAAAAGCTTAATGCCAACGAAAAATAAACTCTTTTCGAAAAGCAGACATTAAAAGCAGATTCAATTTTTGCTACAATTTTGAAGAAACATATTGTAATTGAAGGGAATAAAACATGGAGCTTGGTAATGGTGAACTAGATACAGCAAACCGGGCCATACACATAAAGGATAAGGAGGTGAAGTGGTTGATGTTACAGGCCACATACCACGGCCGGATGGAGATGAAGGGGTTAATGTGCAGGATATAGGAGAAAAAGGGTTTACGTACAGGTCACAATACAGAGTCGGGCTGGAAATTAGTAGTGTAGGAAATGAGGGACAGTGAAAGGATTAAAAAAAACTGTCAGTGAGACTGAGTGAATCAGCAGTTACTATGATTCCTCTGATTACGCTGTTGTAAGAGGAAGGGAGATGGATCTTTAATTTAACAGTATCATGTGACTGCTGTGATCAGTAATCACAGCAATCACAAGGTGCTGAGCAGAATGGTACCTTTTTGGATTAGCAAGCAAAGCAGGATCCTAACATTTATTTCTGGAATGGCGTTTTAAAATTCCCGAAATAGATGTCCACCTCCCTGCCATTTTGTTTTTGCGCTAAGGAGGTGGGTTAAGCCTGCTTGGGTGAGCATTTACTTGGAAATAGTCTTCTGATCGAACAGAATAGGATTAGAACCCTTGGCTTTGCAACTGCTGAGATGATCACACCTTTTTCTTTATATGCCAGATTCCTGTTCCAATCTTTGCTAAAAGATGATTGGGCAAGATTGTTCCAGGCCCAAATTTCAATTTAAAAAAAAAAAAAAATTTTAGGAAACACTCCACAAACCCCAAAACACATTTTTTAAAAAATATTTAAAAAAAAAAAAATGTTTTCATTTTTTTTATCCATTATAGTTCATGTGAAGATATGTTCAGACATGCATATTTCCAGAAATATTTTTCCATTTCGTCATTGAACAACTAAACTGAACCCAAGCAAAGATTTGTGACTAAAAAAATGTCCTAAGCTTGGAGCTCAAAGCTCAGAAAGGTCTATGAGCTTCTTTGCCACGCACAGGGCAGCCTATTGAAATAAATAGGCTGCCCTATGCATGACAAATGCATGTGTGAATGGGGCTTAGATGGTAAAATATTCTTAGACTTAAGCGGTTTAAATAACTTTTTTCTTTTTCTAGCATGATACAAAATAATTTAAGAGACTAGCTCCATACAGGCTTGTTCTCAAAGTGGTTAACAGAAATAAAAATTGCATGGTCGTTGCAGGCTTCTTTACTCTTCGCAAACTTATGTTTGTTTTTTTTCTTTACAGATCTTAAATATTTTGGAGGATATTGGAGAAAGTCGACTTTCATGTAAATGTAGATTGCATGTTTTATTTAGAATTTAACGTATGTGTATACAAGTATTGTAGGGTATGAGTTATACTGTATGTAAATAAATTTGTTTTGAGAAGTGTTTTTCATTAACATTTTTGCTTTCCTATTCCAGCTTCAACATGAGCAGCAATTGTAATTCTGTAGCGCGGGAATTTTTGTCTGATGTCAATAAACTGTGCAGTGAAGGAGGGGAAAGCAAGGATGATGAAGAAGAAGAAAGCCACATGGCAGTTCTTGGAGAGTACCTCTTGTATGGACGTGGACTTTTGCTCCTTACAATGCTCAATGACAGTGTTGATCAGGTAACTGTTAAATAATCAAGTGTGTAAATGCTTTCCAAAACAGTTAAGATATCTGTTGTCCTGGTTCACAGAACTGAACAAATGATGAGCAGAGTAATCTGCATCAAGTTCAGGAAGCCTCTCGGGTTATCTTTTTGGCTGATGGTCAGGCAGCACGCTTCTTAAAGTGAAACTAAAATAGTAGAATTTGTATGTCTCCTACGTAAAGAAACTTCTGTACCTGTCTCTTAGCTTGTGTTTTTTTGGCATACTCTACCTGTGGCTTATGCCCAGTGCCGTGTACACTCTCTACCAGATAAGACAAAGTATGTCTCATAGGTTTTGCCTTTTTAATACAGAGTTTCTCAAAAGGTCTCTGATAGGAGTTCCCTATCCTGACGAGAGCATAGGAACTCTCTCACTTGTAAAGAATTCCAAACCCACATGGGAGGGTCAGTTATCCTCTGGATCTGTTCTACCTGTTTCCAGTTCCCTGCCTTCCTAAAATTGAATAACCTGGCATGGTCTGACGCTATCGGATTCCTAGCCAAGGGAGGAAAATGCAGATTCCCAAGCACTGGCAATAGGGGAGAAGGTGGGTGGGATTGTCCGTTAGAGGGGAGAACCATGCTGATTTCATACATGGTGGCTCGAATGACGGGAATTGACCAATAAGAAAGTTGCCAGTTTAGGATGAATCCAGGGAATGCCCTGTAATGGCAACCGGCAGTCCTCTTGTTCCAAGGCCACCCACAATTTATGCTGGGAATTGCAACACCAATCCATCAGCATAGACAGGTGAGCAGATCTGTAATACAATAGAGGGACGGGAAAAATGCATGCCGACCGCCCCCCTGGTCTGGACAACATCTGGTGTCGCAAACGGCCCCAGTTCACGCACAAAAAAGAGAGGAAGTGAGAGCGCAACTGTCTGAGGTAAGCAGCAGGGATGGTCACAGGAAGCGTCTGAAAGAGGTATAACAATCTGGCGCTTCTTCTTTTTCAAAATGCTATTTCGACCCATCCATGTGAATGCCATGTGGTCCCAAGATCTCAAGTCCGACGCAATGTGTTTCTGGATCAGGAGGAAGTTCAACAAAAATGTTTTCTGAATATCCAATGGGATAAAAAACAAAACAAATACTTAATGTGGGTAGAAGCCCACTTGAACGGAAAGTTAACCCGAAGACCATGCAATCGAGAATCTGGGAGGGAAACATTCAATGCTTCGGATTTACCAATATTTAGTTTAAAGTCTGCTAACTTCCCATAGGCATCCAAGGCAGCCAGAACATTCGGAAGAGTTACCACAGGTTGGGACACATAGAGGAGTAAATCATCCACGTAAGGAGCAAATTTGTGATGACCAGAACTAGTCTCCAGGCCTCTATTATCTGTGGATGCCTGTAGTGTACAAAGCAGTGGTTCCAAGGGTCCTGATGGTGACGTCCTTGGCCCCACGGCCAGTGGCAAAACCCACCTGATCTTGTCTTATAAAGTCGCCTATAAATGGGAGTAAACGAGAAGCAAGAATGCGTGTAAACAATTTAAGGTCAACATTTCACAAAGAAATGGGCCTGTAGCTTGCACAATTGGACACGTCTTTCCTCTCTTTTGTAAGAACCGTAATCTGAGCCCTCAAAGAATCCCTGAGTAAAAAAATGGCCCTTCAGCAAAGCATTGAAGGCATTAACAAACTGCCCCCCAAGGAGATCACGGAACTGCTTATAGTAGTCAAGAGTCAATCGATCGGGGTCCAGGGATTTTCCAGTCTTCATAGCTTTCAAGGCACCCTCAAACTCCTCCCCAAAAATTAGTTCCTCCAAGGCCTGACTATCAGAATCCGACAGACGTGGCATCCCAGAGATGGCCAAATACACCCAAATCGCCTGAATACGCAAGGGACGATCATCCGCCCCCTTAATGGAGTTAAGATTGTACAATTTTGTATAGAAAGAGTGGAACTTGGCCGCCATCCCCCCCGACTGCGAAACTAACATCACCTGCCCGAATGGAAGGTATGTAGGTGCAGGAGTGAGAATCTCTCAAGGCGTTGGCCAGAAGCTTCTGCGGTTTATTCCTGTATTCGTTGAAAGAATGCCAAGACCTTGCCAACTGTGCTTTTATCTTATCCAGCAAAAGCTCGTTGAGCTCCGCTCTCATTCTAGTTAAAGATGCCAAAGTCTCGCCATCCAAGACTGCCTTATGGTGAAATCGGTATTTATTAAAAAAGAATAATAGAATATAAATAACATTTAGATAGAAAACATGACATCTGCCAATATCATATTAACTACAAAGACAATGCCAAGCATGAAATAATTATTTTTTTTAGAATCGGGTCTATTATTTTTAAAAGATATTATTGATTTTATGGCCTCCGTAGGTACACATTAAATAATGGAAATGAAGAGTACAACCTGATAGTGGATGCGTGCATTACAATTAACATGGCATGTTGGTACTTGTATTGTTTCTTAGGTGTTAGTGTTAGAAAGGCTTCATCTTGATAGTACATTAGCTCTGTCTTAAAGCGCAAACATATAAGGGTGTGGATATTAAAAAGAAAGGTAAAGCACTTCTGATTGAAAGAGCAATCCTTCTGAAATCATTTTTATGTGAATATTAGATTTCAATGCTGTTATGAGTAATTTATATTAACAATTCTGCATTAACAAACTACATTCCTACACATTAAGATTGACCCTGCAACAGTGCAAACTGTGTGCATACTGATAGTGGTGTCTGGTGTTCCAGGTCTGATTTATAGAAGGCAATGTTAAATATGTTTGGGAAAAGTGTGTGTGTGTGTGTGTGTGTGTGTGTGTGTGGTAATAATAATATCAAGTCTGAGTATAAAAGACAATATTAGATGTCTTTTGAAAAATCTAGTTGAATTGTGTACATGTACCTGGAGAGATTAAGAAAGCAATTAAATATTAAAAGTATGAATTTCGTCATGCAATATTTCCCATTAGTAAGTGAGCTCATAGTGTGTAGGGACTAAGAAAAACAAAGAAGAAAGATTAGAGGAAAGAAAAGAAACCGTGGTAGAAGAGAGGTCAATGGAAGATGTCCGGAGGGGATAAAGAAACTTTTGAAGTCCAATAGAAATCGACTATTATTTAATGCTGAAACACGTTTTTTTAGTCCACGTCTGAGAGAGTCGGAGGTCGAGAAATCAATCCAAACTACCCATAAAGTATAAAAATTGTGGTATTTGTCATTTATTATAGCTAGAATTTCCTCCATTCTCATAATCTCGTTCATTGTATTGTTCCAGTTGGCAAGGGATGGAGGTGTAGATGTTTTACCAGAGATTTGGAAGGACCTGATGTGCAGCAGAAAAAAACTTGACTGGTGCAGGCCAGTCAAGTTCCTCCACCCCAAACTCCCTCGTCCATGTCTTTATGGACCTTGCTTTGTGCACTGGTGTGCAGTCGTGTTGGAACAAGATGGGGGCATCCCCAAACTGTTCCCACAAAGTTGGGAGCATGAAATTGTCCAAAATGTCTTGGGTCTGCTGATGCCTTAAGAGTTCCCTTCACTGGAACTAAGGGGCCAAGCCCAACCCCTGAAAAAAACCCCACGCCATAATCCCCCCTCCCCCAAACTTTAAATTTGTCACAATGCAGTCAGGCAAGTACCGTTCTCCCGGCAACCGCCAAATCCAGACACGTCCATCCGATTGCCAGACAGAAGCGTGATTCGTCACTCCAGAGAATACGTCCCCACTTCTCTAGAGTCCAGTGGCGGCGCGCTTTACACTGCATCTGACGCTTTGCATTGCACTTGGTGATGTAAGGCTTGGATGCAGCTGCTCGGCCATGGAAACCCATTCCATGAAGCTCTCTATGCACTGTTGTTGTCCCAATCTGAAGGCCACACGAAGTTTGAAGGTCTGTAGCTATTGACTCTGCAGACAGTTGGCGACTTCTGTGCGCTTCAGCATGCACAGACCCCGCTCTGTCATTTTACGTGGCCTACCACTTCGTGGCTGAGTTGCTGTTGTTCCCAGTTGCTTCCACCTTGTTATATTACCACTAACAGTTGACCGTGAAATAGTAAGTAGCAAGTAAATTTGGATGGACTTATGGCACAGGTGGCAACCTATCACGGTACCCCGCTTGAATTCACTGAGCTCCTGAGAGTGGCCCATTCTTTCACAAATGATTTGTAGAAGCAGCCTGCATGCCTATGTGCTTGATTTTTACGCCATGGAAGTGATTGGAACACCTGAATCCAATTATTTGGAGGGGTGTCCCAATACTTTTGGCAATATAGTATAGATAGATAAGAGAGCGATTTCTGTGAAAGGTGTAAGGGTATTACTGTAGAGTCGAGAGTGATTGTATTAACCCCTTCATGACTGAGGCCCTTTTTTCAATTTTTGCACCCATGTTATATTCCACATTTTAGGCCTGAAAATGACGTAAAACCCCCCAACATTATATATTTTCTGAATGCCAAGACCCTATAGAATAAAATGGTGGTAGTTGAAAGATGCTGGCGACGTACACTACGTCGTCAGTCACGAAGGGGTTAAAGGTCAATTCCACCAAATGTCTAGGTACATTCCCCTGTCCCTTCCACATCCCAAACAAGTATCAGTGACAAGAGGAAAAATATGGTGCATGGATACAGGATCTGTGTACCAACGAGAGATGATTTTTTAATTCTTCTCTTGTGTATAACATGAGAGATGAATTATGTGTATTGAAGAAAGCCAATTCTCAATTTCCTATAGTGATCTTTTTGCCCAAGTCCTCGTGCCATGACTCGACAAATCTAAGCAAGCCAAAGGTATTATTTGAGGAGAGAAGTTTTATAAACGTAATATAGGGTGTTCTTACAAAAGTGCTCAACATTTTTTGAGAGGTCTGCCTAAAAATAGCATAAAAACACCTTGTGATTAAGCTCCAGCTCCCGCAGCCTAGCATACATTTCCTCTACCTTCAAGCGTTGATGCTTGTGGCGCGACCCCCAATTTGATCAGGATGCCCCTGATTACACATTTGTGC